CGGGCTCTTAATTAACAATAAGTAATTCAAACATTGATCGCTTGATGGGATCGCTTAAACAGATTTGCTGTCAAACCGATTCGGGCTCTGAGTTAACAATAAGTAATTCAAAACATTCAGCGCTTGATTGGATTGCCGAAACAGATTTGCTGGCAAACTGATTCGGGCTCTGAATTAACAATAAGTAATTGAAACATTCATCGCTTAATGGGATCGCCTCGAAAAATTTTCTCATTATGAGTGCAGGTTTGCGTTTTGAAATAGCTTGAAAATTTTGAAAAGTTTTATAGCCTGATGAGCTTGCTTTGAAAAGCTTTGGTTTTTCACGAGCTTATCTGCGCTCTGAAGTGTTTCTGCGCGCCAGTCAGGTCCATGATTTCGTTGGTGGTAATAGATAAATAGATTTTATCCTTGGTGTTGAAGTTCAATTTTTGGTCAAAAACCAATATCGAAAAGAGTAGTTTTTCGTAATTTCTTGCACGTGAAAAATTTGTTTTGATAAAAGATGTATGTTGATGCAGATCTGACAGATGCACGATGCCGTGACAGAGTAGACAGTTGTGTCTTTTAACAGATATTCAGGTTTTTTTATGGGTGGCGCAGCCTGTAGGTATTGATATTGGATTACTTGCTTAGGAATTGTTGCTCTCTCAAGAGCTGAGAATTTGAATGAAAATAAGGTTAGATCAACAATTTTCAATTACGAAAAAATTGTAGTCAGAAGTATTTACAATAAGAAAAATGTGCAATTTAGTTTTTAAAAATTTTGTGCTATAGAGTTGAATGGAATTGCATGACTATAGCGTTTTTCAATGGAAATTTTTTGAGAAGTGTTTTCGCTCTACCCAATCTAAATCAAATCTAGTGAAACATAGAAATTGCCTGGAACAGTTTGCCGATCATTTCACTCAGCTATGTCTGAAAAAGTTAGCATATCATATGCTGCAGTATTCTAATCAACATACATAAAAAGGTACTTGATCAGTTCAAATTGAAAGAACTAAAATAACTTAAGCTAATTGTATGAAATAACAACAATTGTGAAGCCATTGCACTAAAGATTTGTACTTGCAAAAGCGAAAACACAGAAAAGAAAACTGACAAACTAATTTTGCAGTCATTTAGTGGCGCATGGGAGTGACGATGCCCAGTAATTATATGATTGCAGGCTTAAATCACCAATGCTTTGCAGTTTGCGAGGTGAGCTCTTGTAAGATATCAATATCTTGAATAACCTGAACTGCTTTGTTGATTGTAGGCTTAAAAGCTCTCTTCAGTCGGGAAGCTAACATGCTTCAAAGATTAAATAACAGATTGGAACCGCAATGTTTTTTTTTCCAAAAATTATGCATTATACCTTGTAAGCTAAAATTGCTACGTCAGAGCTCCAGAAACTTTTGAAATTTGGTCAAGCATTTTTTCTAAAAAAAATATAGTTTTTTTTTCAATGTCTGGAGCTTAACAGAGTTTTATATATTTGTTTGAGAATATATAACACGATTCTGACTCCGCGAGCCTGCTCCTTTTTCCCGACGAAGGAGAATCTCAAAATATATTTTGAATATATATACACTGATCAGGGCTCTTGCTTTAAGAAAACTCGCCTTTAAATAAAATTTTATCGGGACCGTGTAAAGAAGCAATTAAATTGTAGATTATGTTTAGTTGAAGTGTTTTCAAATTTTGTACAGTTTATTCTCGATTGAATCTTGCTCCTTGTGACACTTGCGATCAGCGTATAATGTGTTATTACGAACCTTTTTTTCTCACCTAACTCGCAAATAAAGGTGTGCATTAAGGTTGTTCGTTTATTTGGAAATTGCACATCATCTGTTCTTTGCTTTCATTATTTGTGGCTAGTGTTTGGTGCTCAGTAAGCGTCCGTGGCTGAGTTGTTAGTGTGTTAGACTCTTAATCTCTAGGTCACAGGTAAGAATCTCGGATGTAGCCAAAATTTTACTAATTCGAGGCTTATTTCTATTTTTATGGCACTTTATAGAGCTGCTTTTTGTCGTGTTCTCGCAAGTTTTGAGACTGTGTAAGTTTTGAGACTGCATTGTTCAGTGATTCTTCTGGGCATTTTGTTGGCATTTTGAGAAATTCGGCTGTTACAAGTTTATGAATTTTCCTTTGAAACTATGATCCCGAATCGGGCTAAAAATTTGAGTAGCAGAAAACTATAACTGCTCCAATTCAAAAGCAGAAGGCGTGTTTAACGGTTTAACGCGAGTTAACCTGAGGAATCCATTAGGTTTTTTGTTATTCGGAAAAAGTCGATAACCGGCGTATTTTTGATGTCATTTTTTGCGGAACAAATTTTTGAGCAACAACATCAAAATAAAAAGTTGTGCTGCAGTACGCTAATTAAGTTCAATGCGTCTAAGAAAAACTAAAGCTTTCTTCATATGTTTCAAAAAAAATTCTTGTGGTGTTTTAAAATCTGTTAGAGATGAAATTTGACGCTGATTTCTACCTGCATTGATACATTTGGACAAATTAAGCAGCTGATACGAGGCTACAAGAAATAAGCTACCATGAAGTTTATTCCTGCCTCTACTGCCTCTTCAGCACTGCCGTCCTGCCGAGTGTGTAAGTATATTCAACTCTAACCCATTCAATAGAATACTTTATTTTCACTCAGGACAAATCCGAATTGGCCCACTCAGCACAATTCGGAATAAATTTCTTAGAACTTGTTGAGTTTTGAAAGTAAGACATTTTTTTCAAAAACATTCCATGAACATTTTTTTGAAACATTTTTTTCAGACGCAAAGAAAGCTGTCGAAACTATCAAGGCATTATTTTTAGATGGTCGATGTATTCTAATATATTATTTATCTTCATTTAGCTTTCATCGTGATTTTTTTTTGAAAGTTGTGAGATTGTGTAGAGATAAATGAGAAACCGTTTCGAGATTTATATATTATGTCATCAGTATTTAGAACAAAAATATCCGTCAACAAATGGAACGAAAGTCAACGGTGGCAATTAAAACAAAAGTCACAATCAAGAATTTGCATTAAAGCACTATCAAAAATTAGGTTGAAATTCAAAATCAATATGTAGGATTAAAATCGCCGTAAGGGTAATTGTGATAAAAGACAATATTTTCAGACAGGGTTAACTCTCGATATCGAAACTACAGTGTATCTCAAATATAGAAAATGTCCTTCATCTCAAACATTGAAACATCTATTAATTTTAAAATAAACAAGACTGCTCGTATCAGGGCGAAGCCCTGAATGTTCCGACTGCCTTTTAGGGTTTATGGAGCAGTAATAACATAAAAAAATTAAATGAAATAAAATAAAATGAAAATTTTTTTTCCAAAATTTGAAATTTTTAATGAAAATCATCCCCCCACACGCCATATAAAGTACAAAAAGAGAGATTTCGTTCCTTGTAACAAATCAATTATGGCAAATAAGCTTCTTTTAACCAATTTGGAATGATTTCTTAGACGGATTAACTCTCCGCTTACGCGTTAATAGCGCGAAATATATCGCGCGTTAATTGTCCCAAATTGGCCAAAATGGCAATCTTTAACTCCCCGTAACTTTACGAAAAATGATCGCAGGTGAAATATCTTTTCAAATTTAAGCTCAGGACAACAATACCTTTTGAATGATATAAAAAATTCCGTCAAAATGGCTAGTTAAAAAGTCGAAATTTGTCTGTAGAAAAAAAAAACCCACCCCGAGCACAAATATTCCGTTACTTTCGTATCAAAAGTCGGAACAACAAGACTGCTCGTATCAGGGGCTCTGAATGTTCCGACTGCCTTTTAAGGTCTATGGAGCAGTAATAACATTAAAAAATTAAATGTAATAAAATAAATTAAAATTTTTTTTCTAAACATTGAGATTTTTTGTGAAAATCATCCCCCCACACGCCATACATACTACAAAAGGATAGATTTTGTTCCTACTAACAAATCAATTATGACAAATAAGCTTCTTTCAACCAATTTGGAACAATTTTTAAGACGGATTAATTCTCCGCTTACGCGTTGATGGCGCGAAATATATCGCGCGTTAATTGTCCCAAATTGGCCAAAATGGCAATTTTTAAACCTCCATAACTTTACGAAAAATAATCACAAGTGAAATATCTTTTCAAATTTAAGCTCAGGGCAACGATACCTTTTGAATGATAAAAAAAATTCCGTCAAAAATGGCTAGTTAACAAGTCGAAATTTGTCTGAAGAAAAAAAAACCCACCCCGAGCACAAATATTCCCTTATTTTCGTTACGAAAGTCGGAACAAAAGGAAACTTGTCTTGAATGCTGAAACAACCATTCATCTAAAACACTAAAATGGACATTTTCTTCAAATATTGAATTGCTCAGTATCTAAAACACCCGATATCTAAGACTCTGACAACTGAAAGAACGAATTTGTCTATATAACCTACTTTTGTCACCATTCTGAAGGGCTATTCTTAGTGTTTTTTTATGCCGCAAACTGTTGAGGTGGATACAAGTTTTGCGTAGGTAGCCAACACGTACGTTACAATTAATCCACATATTTTGAAATTAAAGAAATTTAAAACGAAAAAATGTTGCTTGGAAATTTAGCGACTATTTCAATTATTCCAGGTTTTAAGATTTGGCATTGGTTTTCACTGTCGATGATTAGGTCCTTGCTTTAAAATTCCGCATTTTGCTAGATATTGATCCTAGATGCAGCTCCTAATTGTAACGATATACATGGTTTAGCTCAGTGTAATGAACAAAATTGCGGAATCGGCGTATATTTGCAATATTCAGAACAACTTGCTACTTTCGCTCATTGCGAAATAGTTGACAAACTAATGCGCCGACAAAAGTTACGCTGCAAGTTATTTGTGCACAGAATCCACAGAATTTTTGTAATTGGACTCCACATACAGCTTGAAACTTGTTTAGAGACTTGACTCTGGATTCCAGTGACTTACGCTTATCAAATGGTGCGCCTATCTAGTTCACAGTTTGGGCTCGTAATCTTGAATGAAGCTTGGACATTTTTCATGGGGTTAATTTTAATTACACAAATTTATTTCGAATTTTATCTATCGTCGTATTTCATTATAATTGATCAAATTATTCATTAGAGCGCATAATTTTTTTCAGCAACTGCTTTTCAGTAAATAAAATTTGCTTGTCACATCACTCAGTTTTGATTAATGCATGCGGGGCTCGAAGAGTACCTTGGTTGGTGTTTCGGTTGTCTTGATATGATGATTTTGAAGCACCTTGTTCCAATAGCATGAAAGACGTCTTTTTTTGCAGCAGCCGCCAACTGAAAGTCGCGTGAAATTTCTAAATTAGCTATTCTCCTTAGGTGTCGTGATTGTTTCAAACTACACTTCACTGTACAAATCGTCATTACTTTGTTGTGAGAAATTGTTTTTCGTGAACTTTTCGGGCGTCGAGTATTCGTGAAAATGGTCGCTTTTCGAATCAACAATATCTGTCTCCTTGGCTGTTTTGTTCAACTCGTAGAAATTTGGTGGCAACGCTGGCATGAACGAGTCGCGAGGTGCTTCTTGATTTAATGTCCTGTTATGATCGCCTGGACTCCTCGGGTATGCATTTGGGAATCTGGGAGCTCCCTTTGCATTTCCAGTAGAATGTAATGAAGATTTAGGTTGGTCGGATTCTGGTGACGCCTCGTTTGATTTTGCAGCCAATGTTTGCTTGCCGATGTTGATTATGTCCGGACTGTTAAACGGTTTCCGATTTCCATTGAGAGGTCGTTCAGAAACTGCCGGATAGTTGCGCACTGGAACATCTGTTGTGGGTGGACCTGTTAGATCTCTGAGTGGGTTGAAAGGACTGAGAGTCTTGGCTGCAGGCGTGTAGAAGGCACCACGTGGCCTCATCTCATAATTGTCCAGATCCTTGTAGCTGACCTACAAGCATTGCCACATTTCTTACCACTTGATACATTATTAATCAACATGAAGTCAACTTTTTATAGAAGGAAAATTTCAAGGTACAACATAAAATAAAGTGAAAACGTTAAATACATTTTTGTCATTTTTGGTGCGATTTGGTAGCGCAGTGGAAAATTTTGATTGTATCTTTTTTTTTTGAAATTCAGCTGCGAAAGTTTTTGGGGAAGCTGTTAAATAAATGTATGAATGAGTTGTGGCGGCTCACCTCTCGAATGTCCGAGTACCTCTTGGGAACAGGGGGGATGTCGTAGTCGAATGGGATGGCGGGAGTGACGGCCAACTGGTCATTGTACTTGCGCTTGAAGCGCTTTGCTCTGAAGTACAGTCTGAAATGCAACAAAACATAGGGTTCAAAGTTGGAGCTAACAGTTTTGAGCTGCAGAAAAAATCTGCAACGAACCCCCGACTTTCAGAAATTTCTGAGAGGGCAACTCGTGCAACAAACAAAAATCACCTGAGCTTTTTTACCCCACGCCCTAAGCTACAAGGGGCCATTGGAGTTTGATAATTCAAGCTGTTTCTGACAAGCGAATCGAGTGATTTAAGCCAGGCACCCAAGTAGCATTCTCTCGAGGGGGAGGGTTCAATTTTTAAATGATTGAACTGAGCTGAACAACTTCAGGTTTCTCTCAGCATTCGTAGTTCTTACTCATTAAAAAGCAGTTCTTTTCTTGAATACATCTATCACTCCGTTCCTAACAAACCTGGCAGCATAGAGCAATGTGGACAACAGGGCGGCAGTGAGCAAAATGAAGGTGGTGATGGTCCAGAACTTGTTGTTCCGGATCTCAACTGGAACACAAAAGTTTTATTAGTTTCTTCAAAGTAGTCCAGAAGGAGCAAGTTAGAATATGTGAATGAAATTATTTAGTGTTGATACCTGGCTTTTGTTTTGTGTACTCTGCTCGTGGCACATACTCTTCACATCTCTCCCCTTCATAATGACCTTTACACCTGAAACATATCGTAGTACTACTATTTTAAGTCAAAAATCAAAAATGTTGAATCATTATTGTTATGGCTACCAAATGCAAAATTAGCCCCTAATTTAATCAAGTCGATGAAAGTTATACGGTATAAAGTGTAATTGTCTGAAAGAAATGGTCTTGGCTGAGAGAAAGTTCAATTGTTACTGCTGCTTAGTGCTTTTATTTGCAAGCCAGATAGAGATAGGTTAGAGGGAGACTTACGTGCAACCGATGATCTTGCTCTGAGGAATGTAGAAGCAAGTGGCTTCGTTCAGACAGAAGCCTCTGTACTCTGGGGGACAGTTGCCGTCGTATATGGACACAGTTGACCCACCCCCACTACTAGCACTACTACTCCCACTCCCCCCTCCCCACGAGGAGGATGACCCCCCGGAGCCCCCCGAGGGGGTTGAAGTAGAAGAAGGTCTGTTCTGTCCTGTCACCCCTTCCGAGCTGCTCGGCTTAATGGGCTTCTCCGTCACAACATCTGAATCACACAGCCGATTGCTGCCAATGCATATCTCAAACTGTAATTGTTATTTTTCGTCAAACTAATAGTAAATTTTATGGCTTATTGATTAGTATAAGTGATTTCTCTTTATTATCTTTGCTCTTAAGGCGTCGATCTACTGGATTCAAAACGCCTTTGACGTTCTCCCAATTGCATTTGATAGCAATTTATTCGAAAACAACTTATTTCAGCCGCCCTACCTTCAGTCCAATATAAGTGCATGAGTGCATTTATTAGAGTTTTACTATTATATTTCAGCGCTATTGAACACCCGCAATCAGATTGCAAGGATAATAATTGATTATAAGGCATTTTCACTGTCAGTCTTCTCGATTATTATCCATGGAACCTCAGTGCCCGCAGAAGTTCAATTCACATCATAAGCTCTTATGAACATTTAGTCAGCGTGTGTTTCTCAAAAACCTGATGTAGTTTATGTGGATCACTTAACACATGAATTTTACTATTTCAATTTGAAATAAATATTTTTTGCTAATTGAAGCTTGTATCCATGTTATGCCAAACTAATCTTTTGATCGCTTCATTTTCGTCCGTCTCTTTTGGGCTCAATATTACTTATTTGTTCAGATAAGCATCTCCAGAATAAAGGGAGACACGCGTGAACAACAACGGAGGCAGTAGGATTGACCGAAAATCAGTCTACTGCAAAACCTACTTCATCTTTTTTACGGAGGGTAGCCAAACAATAAGCAGAATGGTCTAAGAGCAGAATGGGTCCAAGAGCAGAAAAACAGAAAAATATCAATTTTATAAGCTAATCGGTAAATTAAGTATAAAAGAATTGTCAATATTACCAACGAAGCATTAGTTTATGCATTTTGGCCAATTTGGGACAATTAACGCGCGATATATTTCGCGCTATTAACGCGTAAGCGGAGAGTTAATCCGTCTTAGAAATTGTTCCAAATTGGTTAAAAGAAGCTTATTTGCCATAATTGGTTTGTTACAGGGAGCGAAAGCTATCCTTTTGTACTTTATATGGCGTGTGGGGGAATGATTTTCATTAAAAAAATTTCACATTTTAGAAGAAAAAAAATTTCTTCTGTTTTATTTTTTTTTGGATTTTTTTATGTTATTACTGCACCATAAACCTTAAAAGGCAGTCGGAACATTCAGGGCTTCGCCCTGATATGAGCAGTCTTGTTGTTCCGACTTTCGATACAAAAGTAACGGAATATTTGTGCTCGGGGTGGGTTTTTTTTTCTTCAGACAAATTTCGACTTTTTAACTAGCCATTTTTGACGGAATTTTTTTTTATCATTCAAAAGGTATTGTTGTCCTGAGCTTAAATTTGAAAAGATATTTCACCTGCGATTATTTTTCAGAAAGTTATGGGGGTTTAAAAATTGCCATTTTCGCCAATTTGGGACAATTAACGGGTCTTATGCACTAAACGGCCCAAAATCAAATTTTCTACATCGTAAGCATGAAATTATGCGATCGAATTTGATTGGGTAATTTTAGCCAATCAAATTCAAGTTGGACGGTCAGGCATTCCGATCAACCTTTCCAGCAGATATAATTATTAGCCAAAATTTCCGAAAATATGGAACTTTGTAAAATAATCAAATTAATTTTGAGTTACTTGTGCAACCTTGCCCAGACAAGAAAAACTTTAAAAAATGGCTTGACAAAACAAAAATTCATTTTTTTTGTATCTTTTCGGCTAATAATTTTATCTGCTTGAAAAGGCAGAATTATTTCATTTGAAATGGCAGAAAATGTCGATCGAACTTGTTGGCTGATTAGCCAATCCAATTCAACCACATTAATTCAGTTCAAGAGATGTAGAAATAATAATTTTGGGCCGTTTAGTGCATAAGACCCCAATTAACGCGCGATATATTTCGGGCTATAAACGCGTGAGTGAGTTTTAATCCGTCTTAGAAATCGTTTCAAATTGGTTCAAGGAATTTTATATGCCCAAATTGATTTGTTAATAGGAGCAAAATCTATCACTTTGTACCTAATATGGCGGTGGTGGGATGGTGTAACAAAAAATCTCACTTTTTTGAAACAAAATTTTAATTTCATTTTATTGCTTTTAAAATTTTCATGTTTTTAGTGCATCTATAGACCTTAAAATGCAGTCGGAACATCCAGGGCTTCGCCCTGATACGAGCAGTCTTGTTTGTTTTCACTTCACGAATGAACTTGTAGGATGTTATTGCTACATATTTCGTTCATATTTCAACCACATTAATTCAGTTCAAGAGATGTAGAAATAATAATTTTGGGCCGTTTAGTGCATAAGACCCCAATTAACGCGCGATATATTTCGGGCCATAAACGCGTGAGTGAGTTTTAATTCGTCTTAGAAATCATTTCAAATTGGTTCATGGAATTTTATATGCCATAATTGATTTGTTAATAGGAGCAAAATCAATCTACCTTTTGTACTTAATATGGCGTGTGGTGGGATGTTGTCACAAAAAATCTCACTTTTTTGAAACAAAATTTTAATTTCATTTTATTGCTTTTAGAATTTTCATGTTTTTAGTGCATCTATAGACCTTAAAAGGCAGTCGGAATATCCAGAGTTTCGCCCTGATACGAGCAGTCTTGTTTGTTTTCACTTCAGGAATGAACTTGTAGGATGTTATTGCCTTAGAGTTGATAAAGTGTGGGGTCTTTCTGCTATGCAGGCCAAAATTTCCAAAGCTTTGAATGAGCTTACATGTTGGAAAATAAACTTCATATTTCGTTCGCATTTGTTAATTTCATCTAAACAGAACCAGACATTATGATTAATTTTTCAATATAGGAGAACTCTGATTTTTAGGCCGTATAACAGAAAACCCGACAATTGTGTCCATAGAAATTGTAAGGCTGAATGCTATCATAGTTTTTAAAAACGACATTTTCTACCTGACAGAAAACATGGCTTAAACAAATTTTAGATTTTACTTTACAAGTTTGACAGAACTTTTTTTGGGTTTTTTTCGGGTCTTATGCACTAAACGGCCCAAAATCAAAATTTCTACATCGTAAGCTGGAAATTATGCAATCGAATTTGATTGAGTAATTTTAGCCAATCAAATTCAAGTTAGATGGTCAGGCATTCCGACCAGCAGATAAAATTATTAGCCGAAATTTTCGAAAAGATGGAACTTTGTAAAATAATCAAATTAATTGAGAGTTACTTGTGAAATCTTGCCCAGACAAGAAAAACTTTTAAAAATGGCTTGACAAAACAAAAATTCAATTTTTTTTTGTATCATTTCGGCTAATAATTTTATCTGCTTGAAATGGCAGAAATATTTCATTTGAAATGGCAGAAAATGTCGATGGAACTTGATTGGCTAATTAGCCAATCAAATTCAACCACATTAATTTCAGTTCAAGAGATGTAGAAATAATGATTTTGGGCCGTTTAGTGCATAAGACCCTTTTTTTCTAAATTGACTCCTTATCATTCAAGGCCTGAAAACGCTATAAAAACTGAGAGTTGCAAAAAAGTTCTTATTCCTTTAGTTAGTATTTAAACCATTTATGCCAGCGTATTTTTAATTGGTTTAAATTAAAACCACTGCTTTGGCACAAATACATTTAATTTAACATCCATGCCTTATTAGAAGAAAAAAAAGATGAAAAAAACTCAGTTCCTGAACGGGCCCGAACTTCGAACTTTTTCTAACTTCTTTCTTTTTTTTGAAAAAGTGCCCTCATTGATAACAGTCTTGTTCAAAACAATTTCTACTTGGGACTGTTTTTCGGACTGTTTTTTTTCGTTCAATTTCATATTTTTCCGGACTGTTTTTTTGGACTTTTTTGTATGGGACTGTTTTGTACAGACACGATTTAGATCAATTTAGATCAGACGAAAAGCATAGAACTAAATTAATTTAAAGCCAAGAATTTGAACTCAAAGTGCATTGAGTTTTGATCTAAAGCCATCGTTTTTAATTTTATACAGATTCATTTTGATACATTTTAAAGCGATATATGTCAATATGAAGCCAGTTAAACCATTTTAATTTCAATTGAATCTATTTTATCTATCATCCATCCTTTTTAAATTAATCTTTTTGTACAGATTAGTTATAACAGTTTTTATGGACATGTTGGACTCTCAATTAATATGAATAAATTGCTTATAAAAAAAACAAAGTATTCGCTTCGGTTGGTTTTTCATGCCAATGTTTGACTTCAACAGAAAATACAAGATTAGCTAAGTGCAAATTTCTTTAAGCAAAATTAATTAATTCAAATTAAATTATTCAAGTTTTTTGTTGATTCCTTTGAGAAAATTGCGCTAAAAGTGTCATCTCATAAATGGCATTTGAATAAACTGTGCTCATACTTTTCTTTCATTGTCGTAAGAACCCTTAAAGTGCAAGTTTTAAAGGGATCCTTCTAAAACTAATAGTTTGCGGCAAGAAACTCTCCTCGAGTGACGGTAGATCACTGTTAGTTACACTGACGGAAATTGAATAAAATTAATTTTAAAAACAAATTGAAATTGCGGCGAGATTGGGATGAATTTTAGTAGCTATCAGAACCCATCCAAATTGATTTTAAATCAATTTTTAAGCACTAAAATTATCCTTTTTTCGAATATATTGATTTGAAGCTCATCTCAGTTCTTGAAGGTTACATTTTTTTCGATTTGGATCAATTTTATAGCGAGTTAAAATGGATTCAATTCGACTCTTTTTTTGTTAGTGTGGGTGTCTCTTTTTTGTTAGTGTGGGTGTCACCATTACATTACAGTGCTGGATATTTTGTGTCATTTAGATGTCACAGCTTAGATTTCGCTTGAAAGGTGATTTGCTTTAATAGAATACCGTTTTTACATAATCCTAACACCGCAGACACCTGTATTCCAAGAATTGCTCCGGATTTTTTTTTTCATTATTCTACATTTCAGTCCCTTAGTCAGCCGTTAAAACACGAATTAACAGTCCAAACAATAGACATCTAACACATGGATAGACTTTTAATGAGCTGAGGAGAAGTAGGAGAGTTTGATTACCGGCTGTGATGAAAATGTGAGTTTGCATGGCATCATCTCTGTCTAGGAAATTGGAGCCCACACATGTGTATGTTCCCGCGTCTTGTGGCCGCACATTGTGGAGGGACAGAATCAGTCTCCGTCTGAAACAAATCAAGCTCACTTTTTTTAGAGATTCACTTGAAAGTTGTCTTGGCTAATTGCATTGACAACTTATATTTTGTCTCTTCAGTTGAAATTTCAGTTGAAACTTGAATGCTTCGGTTGAAATTTTGTCGAAACTTGCTACAATTGAGCTGCTTAATTAAGGTTCTTTGATAGCGCATTGAAATAACAAAGGTGCAAGTAATCTGTTTCAATGTTCGTCTTACGCCAGGGCGGTCAACAAGCTTAAAATTTCATTTATTCTCCTTTTTGAATCCATTTCAAATCCAAACTGACAAGACTTTGCCAGCAATCATTTCTGTAAATGGTTCAAATTGTTTCTAAGATTTTTGTTCGTTAGAGAAAAAAGGCACTGAATAAGTTTTAATAAAAGTATTACGTGAGAAAGTCATGAATAGAATGGAACTTTGCTCACCCTCTGCTGCTGATTGAAAGGGTGTGGTCCTGATATCCAGGGGGCAGCACTGTCCCGTTGACCGAAATAGAGTTGACAGGCAGGGGTGTGCCCTTGAACTTGCAATTCAATGTCAAACTCTCCCCTTCATACAAGTAGTAGGTCGATTTCCAAGGTCGAGGAAGGTAGGGCGCCGCTGCTGAAACAGAGAGAAAAACAATCCTCAAATGTTTTAGATTCGCAGTAGAAACGGGTGGACTTAATTGTGTACAAAAAGCTAGAGACTATTTCCTGGCTTTTTAATGACTCTAATTTAGTTTCCTGGCTTTTTCATGACTCCAAATTAAGCAATCTGGCTTTGCAGCTCTTCTTGAGCTGAACAACAAAAGTCTTTGCTGCTGCACTAAAGGAGTTAGGATTCGAAATCAGTCTCAGCGCTCTTAGCGTTTCCTTTCGCAAAGAATAGCAATTGATGAGTTACTTTGAATTTTTCGAATCAACCGATTGGAACGATTAACTATGGCCATTGGGGAGGGGGTGAACAAATTCCTCAATCTTTGTGTACCCAAATTGAAAACGCTAAGAATGGTGGCAAGAAGAGCGACTTATAGACGAGAGCTGGCATTGAAGAGAGCATTGCAATTAGGAGAAGGCTGCGCTCATTCAACAATCAGCTACCATATTCAGTTCATGTCGAAGGAACAGAGCATGGCCGAGAAAGGATTTGCCCGAATCCAAGCAGGAGAGAGTGCCGCAAAAGTAGACAAACACAGGAAAACAAAATTCACTCTCGGTTAAGTGATCATTACGAGGCCTACGGATTTTGCGGATTCGGTGGTTTTGGCCCTGTAAATTTGTTGTCACACAGAAGCTAAGTCCTTTCAAGTTTCGATTGGTTGCGGACTCTATGAAACTAGCTGAAAAGCATCGCCAAAATTGCCAGCATGAAGCGTCCAATAATTTTCATTTAATTCGGTTTATTTTAATTTTGTTGCTGTTTTCACTTCATTTCGTATCCGATTAAAGGTGTTTTTGCTACTAGTGATTGTATGGTCGAATACAAATGCCATTAGTCGCTTCCGACCAGATGTCGTTTTCGACACATTGTCTCTTTGCCAGGAGGGGGTAAGGGGGAGGGGGGTTGTTCACTTAGTGTGCAATATGTCATTTCTCACCGTAACAATCTCTGCAGAACACCTCCTCCTTCATCGTCTTCTCTATCTTCTTCTTATAAACATCCGGCTCAGCATAGAAGAAAAAGAGAGAGTCATCTTCCTCACTTTGGGCCGACACATCCAGATAAAAGATAAACTTGCTACTTGGTCGAAACCTTTTAAACCTTTGCAATTCAATACACGGAGAATGCAAAAGGTCAACTTTCAACTCAACATCTGAACTAATTTTGGGGTGAAATTGTTGGTGACCTTTATAAAACTCGTGGTCGTAAATTACGAATTCATTCGTATTTTCAGGATTGGAGAAATTAGCTCGGCCTTTGACGACTATGGGCGCTGCATTCGCTTTGAAAAGATAAAACTTGGTAATATCTCTTCTTTCTAGGAGACATTGGGGCTTAACGTACGAATGGTCTCCAAATTCACTTTCCAAAGATAGCTTCGAGCAACGAGTAAATGGTAAGCTAATTAACAAACAGGTAATGACCAAATAAGTGAGGCTTAACTCCATCCTACGTATTTTCATTTGAGCCAACCGACTCGCCAAGACAAAACAAGCGTATATGTGCTTTGTAACAAGAATAGTTACGACAGCCAGTATCTGACGCGTAGCTTTGTACAAATTTGGTAAGTTTTTTACTTTTATTGCTTTGAAACTTCAATTGAAAACTGAAGTTATTTAGTCAAACACGGTTTGGTGCAGCTGGTATGTTTGTTTTTTATTACTACTTTCTCAGAGGTAATTGTCAAGAAAATGTCACAAATGTGGATGATTAATCGAACAATTATTTGTCCTGTCGTTGGAGTTGTTAATGAGATTATGAGAAAAAGAAGTCAATTGGCTTAGTAAAAAGTTTTAATTGATAATTGTTTGAAAAACTAATCGTTTTTTGATTGATTTAAAACAGTGCGTTATCTTCACTGAAAAAGAAGAGAAAGTTTCAATATTTCTCAAGCTTCCACTGAAATTTGTCCAAATTTTCTAGGAATTTTAGCCGAAAGATTAAAGAAGCGAGTTTAAACTTGCGGCAGTCAGGAAAATAAAAGGGCTGGAGAATTGAATTTATTGACTGCCAGGTACCAAGAAAGGAATGTATTTATGCCCGACAAGTCCTTTCAAAGTAAGTTTTGCCCACCAAAAACACGAAACTAATATCGTTCAATTTAGATTTGGGTAAGCTTTATTGGTTTCAGTCTTTCAGTTTTGGCTGTGGATCTAATTCGATCAAAACATGAAACCACTCCACGTAGTCTATCTGAGCGATAAATTAGCGGTAAATTTAGAGGGATTAGACGTTTTGAGAAACTAATAAGGAGTGAAAATAAGGGAGATTATACCTAGGAAAAGTATGAGTCTCAAGCAATCGCCGCTTCTCTCCTCTCCTCTGTTTGTGGTCTAGCGTGTTTTCTCAGATCTTCTTAGGTGTCCGCTGTAAACTGCGAGCAGATATTATCGCGCAGCTGTCTTGACAAGCGCCATAGTTTGCGGTTTGCAGATTACGTTTTTAATTTCAGCGTGATCAATGTGCGATCCAAGCGTGTTTATGGGTGTAAGCTTGACTGACAACTGGCCAGGGCTTGGCTCCTCCGTCGCTTGCTGGTTGCTCAATCTAAGTTCAAAAGAACCCGCTTCTTTTTTCTCAGTTTGGCCAAAAGTCCAATCACAACTATCGAGCACGAAAGGTCCAGGAATTAATCTGATATCCATGGAACACCCAAGTCCCAAACGTCCTTCCCAACTTGGTTTTAGTTTGAAATGCCGTTTTATTTTTATTAGAAGAAGTGCATTAAGAATAGGAATCCTGGGTATTTGGATTCGCTATTATTATTCCACTAACGATTTTTTTGAAAACATGGGTGATGTAAAGTAGCACCAAAACATTCGACCACAGTTCTTTGCAAAAAAAGATAGTAAACGGAGGGAGGGACTAACAGCTAGCTAAGAAATGCTTCTGCTAGCTAAGAAAACACTAACAGCTAGCTGAGTATGGCTTCATTGAACAATTATCATATAATAACCTTAGCATGCAACGAATTAGCCCGTAGGAAGAATCAATATTTTGTTTAAATCGATCAAACCACGACTAAAAGTTCCTCGATAAGATATATATCACTCGACCTCATCTGACTTTATTGTGATACTTGATTTTGTGTTCAAAACACAAACAAATAAGCAGAAACACACAAGACTAAAAATCGCTTATACGTATCATTACGAGAGTGCTCAAAAACAAGGATAGCAGGCTGCTGAGCAAGTAGCAAAGAATGTCTCGACCACATTTAAAAAATCTACAACTTTTTTTTCAGATTGTCGTTTCTTGTAAGTGGAATGATAGAATAACCAAACAATAGCGTAAAGCTTAGATATAACCGACACCAGTTATCTTAGAAAAATTACTAACTAACAAAAATAAAAAAAAATCAACAAAAAAGTTATTTTGTAGAAATTTAGTTTATTATTTGTTTTCTTAGAAAAATTCATTTGCGAGGAAACACTAAATTATACACTCAAAGTTTTGAGTTTTCTGAATTTAGTTTTTTTAAGCCTTAAATTATAATTAAAATAAATTTTCATTTAACAAACGTTAGTCGATTGCTTTACTTGTTCGAAAATCAAAACTAAAATCAGAAAAAAATTTTCACGGCATTTCGACAAACATTTCAAAAATATTTAATATTGTTCGAATCTTCAATAAAAGGCTTTAATTTGCTATATCACTTAACCCATTCCGGTGGTTGTTTTTGGTTCCTGAAGATCTGTGGAAAATAAGAAGAGAAATAAAGTAGGCGGAACAATCAGAACAAGCATAAAACTCTGCTATTTATTATTTGTTAGTAGTTTTTTGGTATAATATTTTAGAATCTATTTTGGAAAATATTTGCCAAAAAAGCGCGAAGTGATGTTTGCAAAACTAGTTTTCCTTTTATGAAATAACATTTTAATAAAGTCTAGTTGACAAATTATATATAACGAACGTTGCTTGATCACTTTGCTCGTACGAAATTAGAGAAGAACACAAAAATCAAACTGTTTATTTAGAAAAGAGGATAAGTTTAAGTTTTTTTCAAGTCGCAATTATAAGTTCTTTAATATGTTGAAATGAGAGACTTTTTCTGCTGATTATTTCTGTTACTTGATTTAGCAAAGAAAACAAGAAAAAGTAAAAACTAAAACACCCTGGAAACACTAAAAACTAGAACTGAAAATGGCTTGAAACATATAATTTCCCCGGTAGGGGACCACAGAGGTTGCGGTTTGGCCAAAAGATCAATTCAAACATTGAATGGCAAATGGGACGCTATGTAATTAGGAGATAGCCCAACAGATTTTGAGGACGATCCTAAGCTAATCGTTGACGACATAAGACTGAATAAGAATTCGGTGATCAATATGTCACCTTTTGAACGTTAATTCGGCAGTAAACTGAACACAACTTGGTCTTTTTTGAAGACAATCATAGCTCACAAGTTAATTTAGATAAAACCACTTAAGCTGAGACAATATGGACAAGAGACGCTCTCGTACAAATTGCAGTTCCACGGATCATCATGTATTGGCATGTCCAACACACAAACAAGGCATGAAGGCAATCGGTTTTTGCCTAGAAGACTAAGGTGCATCGGTAAGTGATCATGGAGTTTCTATAAGGGTATTCATCTCAAAATTCCGCCCCAGGTGCTTCTTTTGTAACTTGGATGGCCATTTCAAATCGGATTGTCCATAATTCTGGGTCGCAGTGGCAGATAGTAAGCATCCAAGGCATGAAGAGGCTTTGTCAGGAGTTAAAGCCAGCAAGGCACATCTGATGAGTGAGGCGAAAGCTAGGAGGAAAGAGAAGCCTCAAGAACTCGCCACGAAGAAGATGCTAGCCGTGGTGAAGAAAAAAACAACCGGATTGGAACCGGAGACCGCAACACCAGATTTTACCACGCACACTTCAGTACATGGCCTTAGAATCCCTCGCCAAATCCGCCAGCGAATGGACGTTCCTGAAAAAGACGCACTCCAAAAACGAAGAAGCCGTAGCCTTACACACCCTAGCGAACAGGAATATGCTACTGGCCGCCTTTTTACGAATTAGTGTAACTTCTAGAACTTTTCGCTTTCGGACGCTGCTGACCAATAGCCTACTTTGAAAATGTCAGGTAAATAAGAAGATATTCTTCTATCGGAACGAAATCGGTTGCAAGTTTTTGGAAAAAATTTGGATCGTATATCGGAAGAGCTCCTATTTAAAATGTTTTATGACAAAATATCCCAAATTAATAATAACGTTTTTCTTACATAGAAGGTGAAAGGTATTCGGAAGAACCACATCTCTATCAGGTTATAATGGGTAAATAATTCTAAAGTTTTAGCCATACAATCCTCTTCAAAGACAGGTGCAGGCTAAAAACTCTCTGCCAACTGAAGCTTTCAATCGTCAACATCTGGCAACGAAGTTCTACAACAGCCAAACTCGCCTTCAAAACAAAATTTGACAGCAGTCTCCAAAAAAACATACCCCAAAAGCTCCAAAACTAGATTACAAACCAGCCATTTAGCTCAAATCTCTGCAAAATTGCGCCAAAACTTGCACTGCAGACTTCAGACGCTATAGTGCTCTCTTTGAACAAGACATTCTTAGTGGTCGACTTGAGGGGTGGTCGGAAGGGTTGATTCAACCCTGTTGTAAAGTCCTCACCAGCCAAGAAAATATTAGCCCCTTCTCCTCCTTTTAGGAGCCTCACAACCTGTTAGAAGAACTTATCCTAATCTCGTCCGAATATTAGACCCCGTCGAACTCGCAATCGAAACCATTAAATTGCCCCATCTCATTGAAAGAAGGTTCAGACTGCCATATTTCAGCGCCAGAAGCTACCGCTCTAGCCACAGTTTTTTCGCCAGCCAAACCACCAGAGCAAGACGAAGACGACCAAGAAGACAGCATCTCCGTGACATCGAGATCTTCCGGACAAAACAGATGTCACAGCAGCCCAGCCAGGCACGCGATCAAAGCGGTAGAAGAGACTACACTGAAAGAACCCACTTTGAACGTTTCGGTACCCGTCTCAACAGGCGAATTAGATTCCTCAACAGTACAAGGAAGGAAGATCAAAGTTTTTAAGAAGAGCACATCAGAACTTTCTCGAACGTTTTAAAATTAAACTCATACTGTTTGAACTCTTTGGTAAATACCCTTATCTTCCTTCCCCGAAAATGAGTATAAGTTTTTTCAATGAGGTGTAAAAGTGGTACGGCACAGCGTACCGTATTGATCTTAGCTGTGTTCAGATAGACAATGAATCTGAATGTGTCAAGGTCGAGAAAGGCATGAAGTACATCAAAGAAATAAAGAGCAGGCTTAAACAGCATGAAAGTATCATTGTCAAAAGTTGAAGAATAAATCAAACTTGACGAGGAAAATGATAAGTGCTTCCTATGCAAGTAACACATAATGTTGCGATCATAGTATTAAAAAGCTTTTTTTTGCATTTTCAGAACGTTGAAACCAACAGGTGTGTGTGTGTTTGTGCGTTTTTTTTAAATTTCATTATAAGGGTTTAGACCGGCATTTTCGTTTCATTAAAATTAAAGAAAAAAAGTTTTCTTAATAAAAACCTGAGTTAAGCATCCAAAATTGATTTTAAATTTTTTTTGCACTTGAACTGTTGATTTTTTCCACGGGCACATAATAAGAAACTTTTTATTCGATAATGTTACCATATAAAAAGTATGAAAATAAAAAAAAATAAAAAATTCACTTTTAAGGCAGAGGAAAGGTATTCAATTAGGTTAAACTATTATTTACCAAAATGAATGAACAAAAGGTGCAAATTAGGACCAGTTCAAAACAAAAACTTTTCTTATCTAATCATATTCTTGATAACTATTACTAAAAAAAACTTAGAACTAACCAATCCTTATCCATGACTAAAAATAACAAAAATGTGTAAGGCTGAAACTATATATAGTTTCAACCACAAAAGAATATTTTTTAATTTAGACAGCAGTTGTTCTTCTTTTTCTCCCACCTTGCAAGAATACCAGTATATAATAGATCATTTGAGACTAGAAATCATAAGAGTAAGATTAGGACCGGTCTTAGACAAAGGACTTGAACGAATCTATCCGGCCAAAAATAAGATAGCTTGACGAACAGGCGATGTACCTTACCCAAAATTACCCTATGAGAAAGTCACTCCGGACTCAAGATAATCTGGTTCGATAAAAGGAGTCTGGGGCCGACCTATACTTATTTAGATTTAGAAAAACCAGACACAGATTAAACAAATTAGATTAGAGAGGACATCACCAGGTCACAAAGAAAACAGCAAAACA